ATGGATGGATGGTGGATGGAATGGATGGTGGAATGGATGGATGGATGGATGGTGATGGATGGTAGAATGATGGTGGATGGTGGATGGATGGAGAAATGATGGTGGATGGTGGATTGGATGGAATGATGGTGGATGGTGGATTGGATGGTAGAGATGATGGATGGGATGGATGGATGGATGGTAGAATGATGATGGTGGATTGGATGGTAGAATGATGGTGGATGGTGTGATTGATGGTGGATGGTGATATGATGGAATGGATGGATTGGATGGTAGAATGGTGGTGGAATGGATGGATGGATGTGGATGATGGTAGAATGATGAGGATGGTGGATTGGATGGTAGAATGATGGATGGATGGTGAATGGATGGTAGAATGATGGTGGATGGAAGGATTGGATGGTGGATGAGGATGGTGGATGGATGGATGGATGGAATGGATGGATGGATGGAATGGATGGATGGATGGATGGATGGTGGAGGATGGATGGTGGAGATGGGATGGTAGAATGATGATGGATGGTGATGATTGTAGAATGATGGAATGATGGTGGAATGGATTGTAGAATGGATGGTGGATGGATGAAGGATTGGATGGTGGATGATGATGGATGGTGGATGGATGGTAATGGATGGAATGATGATGGAATGGATGGTGGATGGATGGTAGAATGATGGATGGATGGTGGATGGATGGTAGAATGATGGGATGGTGGATTGGATGGTAGAATGATGGATGGGATGGTGGATTGGATGATGGTAGAATGGGATGGTGGATGGATGGAATTGGATGGTAGAATGGATGGATGGGATGGTGGATGGTGGATGGATGGTAGAATGATGTGGGATGGTGGATTGGATGGTAGAATGATGGATGGATGGTGGATTGGATGGTAGAAATGATGGTGGGATGGTGGATTGGATGGTAGAATGATGGTGGATGATGATGATGGATGGATGGATGGAATGGATGGTGGAATGGATGATGGAATGGATAGTGGAATGGATGGAAGTGGAATGATGGATGGATGGTGGGATGGATGGATGGATGGTGGAATGGATGGATGGATGGTGGGATGGTAGAATGGATGGTGGATGGTGGAATGGATGGTGGAATGGACTGGATGGATGGGTGGAATGGATGGTGGATGGATGGTAGAATGGATGGATGGATGATGGATTGGATGGTGGAATGGATGGAGAATGATGGTGGATGGTGTGATTGGATGGTAGAATGATGGTGGGATGGTGATTGGATGGTAGAATGATGTGGATGGTGTGATTGGATGGTAGAATGATGATGGGATGGTGGGATCGGATGGTAGAATGATGTGGGATGGTGTGATTGGATGGTAGAATGATGGAATGGATGGTGTGATTGGATGGTAGAATGGATGGTGGGATGGTGATTGGATGGTAGAATGATGGTGGGATGGTGGATTGGATTGTAGAATGATGGATGGATGGTGGAATGATGGATGGTAGAATGATGGTGGGATGGATGGTGATTGGATGGTAGAATGGATGTGGATGGAATGATTGGATGGATAGAATGATGGATGGATGGTGGATGATTGGATTGTAGAATGATGGTGGATGATGTGGATTGGATGGTAGAATGATGTTGGATGGTGTGATTGGATGGTAGAATGATGATGGATGGTGGTGTGATTGGATGGTGGAATGATGTTGGATGGTGATTAGATTGGTAGAATGATGGTGGGATGATGTGATTGGATGGTAGAATGATGGATGTGGATTGGATGGTGAAATGGATGGTGGATGGTAGAATGATGGGGGATGGTGTGATTGGATGGTAGAATGATGGTGGATGGTGAAATGGATGGTAGAATGATGGATGATGGATTGGATGATAGAATGGATGAGTGGGATGGTGATGGATGGTAGAATGATGAGAGATAGTGTGATTGGATAGAATGATGGTGGATGATGTGATTGGATAGTAGAATGATGGATGGATGGTGAGATAGGATGGTAGAATGATGTGGGATGGTGAAATTGGATGGTAGAATGATGGTGGATGATGTGATTGGATGGTAGAATGATGATGGGATGGTGAGATTGGATGGTAGAATGATGTGAAGGGATGGTGAGATTGGATGGATGAATGATGAAGGATGGTGTGATTGGATGGTAGAATGATGAAGGATGGTGGATTGGATGGTAGAATGAAGGTGGTGGAATGGATGGTAGAATGATGGGGATAGTTAATGATGGTAGAATGATGTGGATAGTGTGATTGGATATAAAATGAAGTGGGATGGTGGATCGATGGATGTGAATGCTGATGGATGGTGTGATTGGATGGTAGAATGATGGTGGGATGGAGTGATTGGATGGTAGAATGATGTGGGATGGTGTGATTAGATTGTAGAATGATGGTGGGATGGTGTGATTGGATTGTAGAATGATGTGGGATGGTGTGATTGGATGGTAGAATGATGTGGGATAGTGTGATTGGATTGTAGAATGATTTGGGATGGTGTGATTGGATGGTAGAATGATGTGGGATAGTGGGATCGGATGGTAGAATGATGGGATGGTGAGATAGGATGAGAGAATGATGATGGGATGGTGAGATAAGATGACAGAATGATGGTGGGATGGTGAGATTGGATAGCAGAATGATGAATCCCAAATATAACATATGTTAGAATGATGAAGGGATAGTGAGATAGGATGACAGAATGACCAATAAACTAGGTACAAGAATCTCACTGTGTTTTATACATATAGTTCAAGTGAATTCTCTTGAAGGATGAGGACATTTTTATGGATATACAACTTCTTTATTCTGTATTCAGAATATAGTATTCCATGAAAATAGTCCTCATCCTTCATCTACCCACCTTCTAGAATGCCAATCAAAGAAGTCATACGTGAATTCTCTTGCATACATTCAGTGCATTGCGGAAAACAAAAGCATATTTTTCAGGATCTGGATTCCAGCACAATCTATAAAAGACTTTTTCTATATTAACAGACAAACATCATCCTCAAAACCCTTCTTGAAAGATCTATCTTCAAGATATTTGACAGACACTCATGATTCGATTGATGCATTAAACATGTGATAAGTAAGCAAACAGGAATGAGTTTGGCAAAAGAAAGAATGTTCTTATTTGAACTTGATGGGCTTTCAAGGTTTAACATAGAAATACTGGACAGCTCATTGTTATGCCCCAAAGACAAACCCTGTCCTCAACTGAAGCATAATATGAAATATAGGAAACTAATGAGAAAACACCAAAACATTCCAAGCCTGTCGCCTGTCATCAACTGAAACATACTCTGAATTATAAAGGCAAAAATTGGAAAACACAAAAACATTCCTCAAAAGCATGTGCATGATATGTATAAACAAATTCACAACATCAGCATTTGACCAGTATGTGTACAGCACAGACTCAGCTCGTTTCCATAATTATCCCATTTGTAGTATTTACTTATATTAAGGCTGTTTGATCATAATCTCCTCCTTATAGATGACATCAGTATGTAAACCTGAGTCCATTTCCTGTTATTCCCAACCACACCTATAATCAATATGTGACTGTATGCCTTCCATTACATTCTGCTTATTTATGATGTGAAACACATTTAACGATAATGAGTCATTAAGTTTAGTTGTGATTTAGGACTATGAATGTTCAAGCAAACATGAGAGACGGTTTTGTGTGTTATTTCACATTTCTAACAAGTGTCAGCCAAATACAATCACATACTGCCATTATCAATACAAATATACACTCACATGCTCTGGGTAACAAGCACAAATAGAAATTTATAGCTCACCTGGTTAATGATATCCCACCTGTGCCTATGTCTAAAGCATCAGCAGTAAAATCCACCAGCAAATCAGATTCACAAGTATTGATCATCAAGGGTTAATTCAGAATCAGGAGTGGAACAGATACTCATAAATGTACTTTCACTTTTGTCTACACACAAAAACTGATGAAGAATGAATAAAACTGACAAAAGGAATGCAATCTCTATTAGACTGACAGGCAAGGTGCAATCTTCTTGTCATTTATCTGAGGCACAAAGTTTAGAGGAACAGGTGAGCTAACAACCATGATGACAACACTTATATTTTTTACATTAAGTTTGCTCAAACATTCTATACCAGTCTCTATATAAAGTTAAAAATCAATGTTTTTCAGCAGTCACAAACACAATCTGATGGTCCTGTGTGCATGTTTTTACTGAAGAAATACCTACTGTAGGAAGTTATAACAGAAAACTCTGGTTCGGTCACAAACACAGAGAAGTTAAAGACAGTGACTCTTGAACATTTCTCACCAAATTACCAACGACACTCCAGTTGAGCGTCTGACCTTCACACTAACTGCTCGTTTGTTCAGAAACAAAGCCAGTTGACAGTGACAATGTATTTCCATCTGTCCTGGATATTTCTCACAAATATCGTGGCATGCCTACAGATGAGAGAGACATGGACTGAAATACGGAATTCCATCAACTACACAAGAGCTAAAGATCCGCCATTTCCTCCTGGACATTCAAAGATTAACGTTACTATTAAGCTTGCACCTGGAGCTATATTGGACCTCGATTCTGTGGAACAGCTTCTAACATTCACTGCAGCTATTGGCATGTCCTGGACTGATCCTAGTCTGTCCTGGAACAAGTCGCTTTATAATGGTTACATGGATATTGAGCCTCATCAAGTATGGCTACCGCAAATTAATCTATTCAATTCTGTGAGTGATGTGTCTCTATTTTCAACCAGATCTTTCACAATGAGTCTAAATAATGATGGCCATGTTTTGGCACACACAGGCGACATGTTCAAGACCATATGTGTGACTGATGCCTTTCAGTTTCCTTTTGATGAACAGAAATGTGAGTTAATATTTCATACCTATCGAAACTATATCAATGTGCATGTCAATGCACTATGGAAACATGAATACGGCTCCTACATAAAAGAGGAGTCTGAATGGTCATTGATACAAATGACAGGTGGAATTGCATCTTTTAATGGATTTGCTTTCAAAACAGCAATCTTGACCCTGAAGAGACAGAGTCACTTCTATGTGTTAAGCATCATTATTCCAATGGCCTTGACCTCCATCATGAATGCTTTTGTCTTCATCCTTCCTGCCGATTCCGGAGAGAAAGTATCCTTTCTGGTTTCCATCTTTGTGTCACATGCTGTGTTCCTCAACTTTGTCTACGACATCATGCCAAGGACATCCACCAGAGCTCCAAAGATCATGATCTATCTCATCTGTATCCTGCTTCAAAGCTTCCTGGCACTTCTGGCTGTCACAACAACCCTCAGGATCAGGAACAACCAACTCCAGGGAGATCACAAGAGAGTTTCAACTGTGGCAGACCAGACAGAGGAGGATAACTCCACACAGAGGTCCAAAGGGATGGGCAGACTTCGCAACTTCTACATTGAAAAGTTGGATAATATCTTCTTTGTTGTATTTCTGTTGGTGGCCATCATCAACACTGTTGTTTTATTCACCTGACCAACATGTTGCTTTCCCATAATTGCAGTTGGAAAAGTAACCAAATTTGCATTCTTACCTTTTGAGACTTTGGTCATGGAATAACCTGAGATTTTTTAGTTTTTTTCATTCAAAGTTTCTTGATTTGAGTGAGTGAGGGAGTGAGTGAGTTCAGCTATTGTAGCTTTTAGCAATATTTCGGCAATATCACAGACGAGGACTCCAGAAATGGGCTTCACACATTGTACCCATGTGGGGAGTTGAACTCAGGACTTTGCAGTGACAATCAAATGCTTTAACCACTAGGCTACCCCATCGCACCTTTTTTATTTGAAGTTTACTGACACTTGCATGTTCTGAAATACCTACAAAGGGATTTGGATAGCCTCTCACAGAGAACAAGAGAATTGTACGCCACATTTTGGCAATTCATCTATTATTGGATCTGAATGACATTTTTGCTGACATCGTAAACTCCTTGCATGATATGTTTGTTAGAACGCTGAAAGTGTTTTTTGATTTGGGGCCCCAGGCCAGCAATGCCAATTGTTAACTTAACTTTTGAAACTAAAATAACATTTTCTATTTTCTATAGCTTTTTGTAAAATTGAAGAATTTTCTTTTCTTGAGCAAGGCATCCATAACATTTTGTCTTACCGGTATACTTAAGCAAGGCAATTGTTAACAGGCAGTGAATACTGTTGCAAACATATATATAGTAATTGTTTGTGGCAGCAGTTGAATGAAGTGCCAGTACAATGTGCAGGTTGGGTGCCTGTCTGGAACACCAAATTGGTGCCAGCTTCATGCACCATGGAAGTCAAGTACAGACAGATGCCTGTTACAAGACATTTGGCAAGGACAAAATTCTGGACTGTCACGCACTTAATCAAATCATAGTCTGCCACTAAATGCTGATGTCAGTTATATTACAGCTTGAAGTTTCTGTTGTCACTTTAGACCTAAATGTATGTGTTAGATTTAAATTTATTGATTGTTTATTGATCATGGCTTGGCGTTTACTCATTTCACTATTGAGTTCTGTGCAAATAAAATTACTGGAAATCACATCATAATACTCTTGATGAGTTTTTGTTTTCCATCAGTGAGGGTTGGTCCATTTTGTTGATCCAAAAAACCCAAAATAATTGCAGCTGGAATTTTAAATACTTACATTGTACAACAGTTTCATCCAGGGAGCACAAAAACTGCATACCAGTCTCATGAAATTCAACTATCACAGGATTTGAAGGACTGTTTTGTGTTTACATCAGAAACTCCCCAAAAAGTGTGACAGTTAAACAGTTGTAAGTAGTATCATTATGAGGCCCCACACAGGAAAGCCACATTAATGAATAAAGTTAGGCTGTGTTTTCAAGCTTTACTTCTTATAGTTTCTGGTCCTTCTTGTATTTTTGGCATAATATACTTGACATATTAATTCAATTTGATTCACTTTGGCATTGTAAAAGATGGTATTAAGAAGAAGTATATTTCTGTGTTTATTCTTTTAAACTCTCTTAGTCTACCAGACAATCCAGTGATTGATAATGTCAGGGTGATCCATGATGTCAGGGTGTGAGGACATGCCAACAACTAGGACCAGACAATCCAGTGATTGATAATGTCGGGGTGATCCATGATATCAGGGTGTGAGGACATACAAACAACTTGGAACAGACAATCCAGTGATTGATAATGTCGGGGTGATCCATGTTGTCAGGGTGTGAGGACATGCCAACAGCTAGGACCAGACAATCCAGTGATTGATAATGTCGGGGTGATCCATGATGTCAGGGTGTGAGGACATGCCAACAACTAGGACCAGACAATCCAGTGATTGATAATGTCGGGGTGATCCATGTTGTCAGGGTGTGAGGACATGCCAACAACTAAGACGAGACAATCCAGTGATTGATAATGTCGGGGTGATCCATGATGTCAGGGTGTGAGGACATGCCAACAGCTAGGACCAGACAATCCAGTGATTGATAATGTCGGGGTGATCCATGATATCAGGGTGTGAGGACATGCCAACAACTAGGACCAGACAATCCAGTGATTGATAATGTCGGGGTGATCCATGATGTCAGGGTGTGAGGACATGCCAACAACTAGGACCAGACAATCCAGTGATTGATAATGTCAGGGTGATCCATGTTGTCAGGGTGTGAGGACATGCCAACAACTAGGACCAGACAATCCAGTGATTGATAATGTCGGGGTGATCCATGTTGTCAGGGTGTGAGGACATGCCAACAACTAGGACCAGACAATCCAGTGATTGATAATGTCGGGGTGATCCATGTTGTCAGGGTGTGAGGACATGCCAACAGCTAGGACCAGACAATCCAGTGATTGATAATGTCGGGTGATCCATGATGTCAGGGTGTGAGGACATGCCAACAACTAGGACCAGACAATCCAGTGATTGATAATGTCGGGGTGATCCATGTTGTCAGGGTGTGAGGACATACAAACAACTTGGACCAGACAATCCAGTGATTGATAATGTCGGGGTGATCCATGTTGTCAGGGTGTGAGGACATGCCAACAACTAGGACCAGACAATCCAGTGATTGATAATGTCAGGGTGATCCATGTTGTCAGGGTGTGAGGACATGCCAACAACTAGGACCAGACAATCCAGTGATTGATAATGTCGGGGTGATCCATGTTGTCAGGGTGTGAGGACATGCCAACAACTAGGACCAGACAATCCAGTGATTGATAATGTCGGGGTGATCCATGATGTCAGGGTGTGAGGACATGCCAACAACTAGGACCAGACAATCCAGTGATTGATAATGTCGGGGTGATCCATGATGTCAGGGTGTGAGGACATGCCAACAACTAGGACCAGACAATCCAGTGATTGATAATGTCGGGGTGATCCATGATGTCAGGGTGTGAGGACATGCCAACAGCTAGGACCAGACAATCCAGTGATTGATAATGTCGGGTGATCCATGATGTTAGGGTGTGAGGACATGCCAACAACTAGGACCAGACAATCCAGTGATTGATAATGTCAGGGTGATCCATGATGTCAGGGTGTGAGGACATGCCAACAACTAGGACCAGACAATCCAGTGATTGATAATGTCGGGGGTGATCCATGTTGTCAGGGTGTGAGGACATGCCAACAACTAGGACCAGACAATCCAGTGATTGATAATGTCGGGTGATCCATGATGTCAGGGTGTGAGGACATGCCAACAACTAGGACCAGACAAACCAGTGATTGATAATGTCGGGGTGATCCATGATGTCAGGGTGTGAGGACATGCCAACAGCTAGGACCAGACAATCCAGTGATTGATAATGTCGGGGTGATCCATGATGTCAGGGTGTGAGGACATACAAACAACTTGGACCAGACAATCCAGTGATTGATAATGTCGGGGTGATCCATGTTGTCTAGGTGTGAGGACATGCCAACAACTAGGAACAGACAATCCAGTGATTGATAATGTCGGGGTGATCCATGATGTCAGGGTGTGAGGACATGCCAACAACTAGGACCAGACAATCCAGTGATTGATAATGTCGGGGTGATCCATGATGTCAGGGTGTGAGGACATGCCAACAACTAGGACCAGACAATCCAGTGATTGATAATGTCGGGGTGATCCATGATGTCAGGGTGTGAGGACATACAAACAACTTGGACCAGACAATCCAGTGATTGATAATGTCGGGGTGATCCATGATGTCAGGGTGTGAGGGCATACAAACAACTAGGACCAGACAATCCAGTGATTGATAATGTCAGGGTGATCCATGATGTCAGGGTGTGAGGGCATACAAACAACTAGGACCAGACAATCCAGTGATTGAAAATGTCGGGGTGATCCATGTTGTCAGGGTGTGAGGGCATACAAACAACTTGGACAGTACAATTTTCATAAATTTTCATTGGGACTTGTATAGTTTCATCTTTGTTTTGTCATTTTTAAAATTGCCTAATACCTTCTTGATTTTCAGTATGCTACATCACACTTACTACACTTGGTAACTAAAGGTAATTCATATATATTTGTCTGCTTTGGTACTTAACCAAAAAGTATTTTAAACTTGTTTTTAACTTATGACTCAAAGATATCATGACATGTTCATTTTGCACCACAAAAATACTTGCATTGATCATTTAATGATCTGTTGCATGTAAACGGCTTCTCTGCCATTTAAACTGCTTCCCTAGCTTCTATTATCATATAACATTATATAGCATTGATAACATTGTAAGAACACACATGGGCACACTGTGTGAAGCCCATTTCTGGTGTCCCCCGCCGTGATGTTGCTGGAATATTGCTAAAAGCGGCGTAAAACGAAACTCAGTCAGTCAGTCAGTTGTAAGAACAACAACCTTGATGGTTTCATCAATGAGAAAATTAAAGTTCATGTTAAACAGAGACAATCTAAATAAGGTTTATATTGTATTTAGAAGACCACATCTTGAATATGCTTGTGAATTGTGGGATGGTTGTTCGGTAGATTTAACCGATAAAATTGAAAAAGTTTTGGTTTACCAAAATATGCTGTTAGAGATACTCTAATTTATGAAACAGGTTGGCAATTGTTAAAAGAAAGAAGAAGATGTCGTAAACTGTCTTTATTCTATAATATCTACAACAAAAATGCTCCATTCTACCTTTGTAATGTTATGCCTCAAACTGTTAAATCTAGGACAAATTATAATCTTAGAAACATTCGTGATCTTTCCCTGTCTTATTCCTGCACAAATCTCTACAGTCAATCATTT